TACAACAGATATATCATTCACCAAGACATGAATACGCTCATTCCTTAAAATTTATGGGGTGATGGGGAAATGTGGTAGGTTATAGCAAAAAACTATTAGGTATAAATTATGAAATGTTAAGAAGCTTAACGGTCAAGAATTATTTTAACTAAGGCCCATACTCACCAGTCAAACATGAAAGCTAAGGCCCGAGATGCTGCATCTTTGTCAGCATCCGATGGGGATATTGGAATAAACCAGAGTGAATTTAGAGCTACCCCAATTTGACCCTTCTGAGAAATCTATTGTATACAATGATCATTTCTGGTCAAAGTTTGTTTTAAAAAAAAAAGATTAAGTGCTTTTGGATTTAGATAATACTGAAAGATGATTTTGCAGAAACCTGATACTTCTCTCTATAGATTTTGACAGCTTTAGCATGAGCAAGGATCTGGAAGTGTGAAACAATGTAGGGCTCAGTGCTAGAGTCACCGGCACTGCAGTTTAGGCCCAGAAACTTGGAGCACCTTGCAGGTGGGAATGCACCAATGGCATAACTCATATAGCTATATTGTATTGGCTCATTTAAAGTGATCCAATGCTTTACCCTGTCTCCAAATTCTCTAAAGCAAATTTCTGCATAATCTGCAAAATCCTTCCTGTTTGCAAAATCCGAAGGGAAATATTTTCAAACACTTGGAATGCAATATGAAAGAAGGGTTCAAATGTTATTGTTGTTTTTAGTTTGCTTGATACTCACACAATTTTTGGGCTTAGAAAACCACCATATTCATCTTCAAGAGCTTGAGGAAGGTCCCAATGAAACAAAGTGACAAAGGGTTGCAATCCTGTAAGTGTAATATAGGGCACAAAAAATCAAATGTAATTCGATTTATTTTGATTCCCGATATCATGATTGAAAAGTTGGTCTTCATCTAACCATTGGATAGGAGTTCATCAATGAGATCGTTGTAATATCTGATGCCTTCTGGGTTGAGTCCACCCTTTAAATTCCCATCTAAAACATAAATCTTAAGTATGAGTTGAATCCAACAATTAAAGCAAATAATTGGAGGGTAATGAAGCGTTTCTCACAGGGTAGGATTCTGGGCCAAGAGATGGAAAATCTGTAGGCATTAAAACCAATATCCTTCATTATGGCTACATCTTCCTGAAAAAGTTTTCAATCGGTGAACATTAGTAATATATAAGAAACCTTAATGGAAAATGAAGTTCAAAATCCAGCGAGAATCATTTATCTGAGACTTGGAAAGCAACTTAAGAGAAAGGGAGTACCTTGTAGCGATGATATTGATCAGTAGCAACATCCCCATTGCTGCCATCAGCTATCCTTTCTGAAAGATTGAGGCATAATTGAATTCAGATGCAGGTTGAAGAAACTCATGTGACAACTTCATTGAAGACTGTTTAAATAAAATGGTTTCATATAAATACTCCTCCAATCCTAGTCATGCCTTTTTCTTTTAAGAAAGTTTTATGTAATAATATCAAATAACTTTTTATATAAGGTTTTATGTGATAATATCAAATAAATTTTATATAAATTTTTATTTTTATTTTAGCTAAAATTTAAGTTTATATAAAATTTCAATTAAGTTTTTTAGATTTATAAAGTATATGTTTAGTTTGAGTCTTTTGATCTTAAGACTGTTATTTTTATTTCTTACATATTTATGATAGCTGTTTGGATCAAGTTAGAAGAATTTTTTTACTTTAGGAGATAAAATTCCTACAACATAAAATTACTTCTTCACAACTCTAACCCATTTCATATTCTGATAGACATCTCTCTACAAAATTCAGATTTAAGTAACAAGACTGGAATTATAAAAGTACCTGGGAATTTATGAGTGAAAGTGTCCCAAACGCTGGGGCCTTTCCCTCCTTCAGTTGCCGCACCTTCATGCTTCATACATACATACATATTATATAGCAACCCCAATCACATTCGTGAAAACCATACCCATATACTACTCCGTCCCTTATTATAAGATCCTTTTAACAAAATTGTACGGTTTAAAAAAACAGTTAAAATTAGTTAAAAGCAATTAATATGTAGCAAATGTAATTTTTTTTCCTAATATACCCTTATATATAAATGGATAAGTGTGAGAGAGTAACAGTAAGATAAATGAAGAGAGATAATGTATTAAATATATTAAATTAGAGGTAAAATAGGTAATACCGCATTAAATGTTTAGAGAAACTCAAAGAAAATCTTATAAAAAGAAACAAACTTATTCAAAAAATTAGATCTTATAATGAGAGACGGAAGGAGTGTGTGTATTGGGGGGGGGGCATATGAACAAGAATTGTGTGTTTTGTGTTTGCGAAAACCAACCTGGTAAGCAGAAGAGGAAGTGCCGAAAGTAAAATCTGCAGGAAAACAATGAAGTGATGGAGACTGCCAGCAGATGAGCAGCAGCAGCAGAAGAAGATGATGACAGTACTTTGCCTTCATTCTTTAATTTTCATTCAGTGCAGCGCCACACACACACATATATAAATATATATACTGTTTATGGCATATGGTATCCATCGTACATTCAGTTCTAGATATATACAATCTAACTATTTAAATAATAAAGTAACAAAGTAACTATTTTTCAACATCCATTCTTCAACTTTGTTGACATAATAACTCATTATTTTTAGGCCATACAACAATATTGCCGCCTCTCTTTTTAGGCCTTTTTATTATTTATTTTTGGCTCAACTTGCATGGAAGAAATGTTCAAGGAGGGACCTGGGGGTAAATTTTTCTAATTTATTTGTCATAATTGTGAGGTGAGATTTTAGTTTTAAAAAATTCTTATATCCATGAGCAATCTTTGGATATGAATTATAGCGTCATTGTTACTAATTAATATATTTTGGTGGTATGCATGGAAACATTAGAAGTAGCCTGCTATTTGGACTTTTGCTACCTTATTATTGCATGCATGCCCTGTAAATTTGGCTCCCAAAAAAATAATGATTGAAAACCAGAACTTGTCATCAATATGAAACAAATTAAAGGGCCGGCTCACTATTTCTTTAACATGAGGACGGCCATCAACCTAATAAACTCAGTCATGACGGTGATTGATTTAAACCCCACATATATAAAAATATATATAATGCAACATCTATTATTGACCAAATCACGTAAAAATTAAATATTTTTTCATGTTACAAATAGCACCTGAAATACTTGTATATACGTAAGATCTTTGCCGTGCCGCGGGGTTTCAGAGCTATACGGGGTTTCAGAGCTATACAGATACATGTCTTTACAAATATAAATATAAGAGCCATTTTGTAGTGTAAATTACATTACAAAAAGGTTTTATATTTAGAACCGGAGGAATACATATTTTGCTTAATTAAATTAATATCCATACAGAATATAAAATCTAAAGCAAATCACAGTAATTTGTAAACTATGAAAATATTATATTATGATCTTACTTTCTCAATATTTATGTGGTTACTCAGAGATATCAATAAATCCAAAACACTACTCTTCCAATGTCTGAAAATCACACTCCCTTTTCTTTTTTAAAGATCAACTACTCCGTCCCTTATTATGAGATTATTTTAACTAAATTACGTGGTTTAAAAAAACAGTTAAAATTAGTTAAAAGCAATTAATATATAGTAAATGTAATTTTTTTTCAAATGTACCCCTATATATAAATGGGTAGATGCAAGAGAATAATAGTGAGATAAGTGAAAAAAGAGAACGTATTAAATACATTAAACTAGAAATAAAATAGATAATAATGTATTAAATATTCAGACAAACTCAAAAAATTTTATAAAAAAAAACAAACCTATTCAAAAAACTAGATCTTATAATAGAGACGGAGGGAGTACTTAACCAAATCACACATATAAGAATTAATTAAAATTAAATTAAAGTGTTAAATGCAATTGAAAAATAATATCTTAACCTTTTTAAAATCTGGCCATTTAAAGTTTTTTTCTTCACATTTTTATATGTTCGATGACTTGCTAGGGATCCTCGAAACGGCACCACGCGGTCAAAGAACTGGGGTCAAAGACAATCGGCAGCCAGCAAGGATATTTAGTCATTTTACATGCATTTATCATAATTCAACCCATCTCTCCATAATAAATGAAATTAGGAAAACTTATTTTTGTTTAATTTGCTTGTTTGGCATGGCACCGATGCCAAAAAAAAAAAATTGCTTGTTTGGCACCTATGCATAATTTCCCTTCTTTCACACTAACAGTTATATGATGCATGGTATTAAACTGATAGTCCCCTCATTTTTATAATAAACGATTGACCAAATTAAACTATTTGAAATGTTCGTTAAAATTAATTGAGGATAATAAATATATTAAAAAAAAATATAACTATGTTATCAAAAATACCTTTTTAGAGCCTCTAGAAAATGTGTGATAAAAAAAAATGATACGAATGATTAAATGGGGTAAAATAGAAAATCAATAAGATGATATAATTCTCAGATTCTTATATTAATATGTTATATTTGAATATTTTTAAACATATTTTTGTTTAAAAAAATTACTCAAATTTTTAATCAAGTTGTTAACATGTTAAGTCACTTCAATTTTGTCTAAATTTAGTAAAAATATTAAATATATCATTAAGAAATATTATAATTTTTAAAAAATAAATTAGAGATTTAACATAATAAGGCGTAAATTAGTAAATAACACTTATTCCAATATGCTTTTTAATTAAAAATAAACTTCAAAAATCTTTATACTTTTAATGGTGTTAATGATCAAAACTAAAAGGTATATTTTCAAAATAGATAGAAAGTCTGTGTACCTAGTGCAAAATAAAAGGGCGATTAGAATATTTTGCTCAATTATAAATTTTGTTCAGGGGATGCCGGGCACCACCATCGCTCATAATATTATAAATTAAACATTTTGATCATATTGATATCAAGATAAAACATAAAATCCATAGCAAGTCCATCAATACAATCCAGTAGCCCTCATTTCACTTCAGTTATGCATCAGTATTGGTGATGCTGAGAACCATTCCACTGATGGAGAAAAGTTTTGAACCACAGAGCTGATCTTTTGCGGTATCGTTTCTGTCCATTCTTGAAATCTACATGTATTATTCCAAAGCGGCTGGTATATCCAAAAATCCACTCAAAGTCGTCCAAAAGTGACCATGCAAAGTAGCCCTTCACTTTCACTCCATTCCTACCAAGAATACAGTAGATTTTAAGGGAAAGAAATTTCATGTTGAGTCCTTCGTTGAGTCATAAACTTCAGAAGTAGAATAGTTCTTTTCTGCAAAAGAAACATACCTCATGGCCCTTCGAACGTACACAAGGTGGCGACTGATATAGTCTATCCTCATGGTGTCATTAAGTGACTTTCTCCCATTATCAACCTCGTTACATCCTGCAAATGTTTGGAGAAATCTGACTTGTCAAGAAGAAAGCAAACACTGATTATGGCATTCGAAATAATGTATATAGCTAAATTTCTGACCATTTTCTGTTATGTAAATGATTGGATTGTTCAGTTTCTTCTTGGTGTATTCTAACACATTTTGAATTCCTCGTGGATAGATGTATAGCCAATCTGAGCCAGCCTGCAATGTTATTCACTTCTCAATTCCTATGTCAAATTGATATTTATGGAGGTATAATGAGAAACTTAATTTCTCCTTCAAACTCAATTTAAACTCGGCAAGTGAAAACTGAACCCAATTACGAGTTTAGGCTAAAATGCTAATTTTCAGTGGATGTAATGGTCATGACCGTTTAGTTTGTTTTGCTGTTTCTTTAACTTCTGTTTTAGTTTTAGAAATAGTTTCTGCTCAAACAGTAGCAAAAATAAATTTTTGTGTCATCTAAAACAATGTTTGCCTTGAACAAATACACACAAAAATTGAAAACACAGGGTTCCTCTTCCTGTCTCCCACAGCTAAGTATCTTGATGAGAAAAGAAGTACCTTTGGACCAATGGGAACTCCATTTCTTTCAGCTGAGACATTAGAAGAAACGATAATGAGTAAGCAAAGGTACAAGAAAAATTTCACAAAAGTGAAGAAGAGACAATGTATAGACTTCATTTTCTGTAGCTTACTTGTAAAGTTGAAACAAGCGTCTGTCAGTGCAGTTTGATTTTTACTTTCGCAAGGAATATTATATGCATAATATGTTGTATAATAATTCACCCCTATGAAATCAAAGGACCCTTTAACCAACAATGATTGCCTTTTGGAGAACTTGGGCAAACGTTTACCCACATGTCTAACCATTACTCCAGGGTATTTCCCAGAGTTCAGTGGCTCCATGAACCTTGAAAAGCATGATACAATCGATGTGAGGGTCTCCTTGTCATTAGGCAACAACAACTATTTTAACTCAAAATTTCAAACTGGTAAAGTACCTTTATGTAGGAGACACACTTACCAGTCAGATGTGAAATCATTGGCTCGAGATGCTGCATCTTTGTCAGCTTTTGACAGGGATATGGGAACATACCACATCAAAGCTATTGATAGCCCAACTTGACCTTTCTGAGAAATCTGCATCTTGCAATGATCATTTACAGGAAAATTTAGTGACAATTTACAGAATACCTTAAAATTAAGGCTATAAAAAATGATAATTTTGCAGTAACCTGGTACTTCTTCCTGTAGAGTTTGACTGCTTCAGCGTGAGCAAGAATTAGGTGGTGAGTAACAAGGTAGGGTTCGGTACTAGAGTCACCGGCACTGCAGTTTAGGCCCAAGAAGCTGGAGCACCTTCCAGGTGGGAATACACCATTGGCATAACCTTCAACGCTATAAGAGGATGGCTCATTCAAAGTGATCCAATGCTTTACCCTGTCACCAAATTCTCTGAAACATAGTTCTGCGTAGTCTGTAAAGTCCTTCCTGTTTGCAAAATCCAAACGGAGGTTTTTTCAAACACTTGGAAAACAATATGAACAGAGGACCCAAGGAGAACATCATGGTACTAGACTTTCCTTATAGTTTCTGTTTTAAACAATAATTAGTTGATGTTTTAAAAACTAAAACTAGTTAACTAAGGGTGTGTTTGGATGAAACCAGACCGTGGTTTGGAAAAGTGATTCTGGAGAATAGATTCTGGGGAGAATAGATTCTGTGAAGAATATATTTTGTAAAAAAGTGATTCTGAAAAGTGAGAGTGTTTGGATAGTTGTTATCAGAAGCACTTTTTATATATACAAATTACTAAAAAAAAGACATAAGTTAATATGATAATTACAAAAAAAATAGATTTTATGATATATTTTAATTTGAAGGAATAAAATTGTTAATAATATATTTTTTTACCAACATAATTAATAATACATAAGATAATATAATTAATAAATAATTAATATGTATATATATTTATAAAATATAAGATTAAATATGTTTATAAAAAAATATATTTATAAAAAAAATAACAAGATACATATCATATAGGCTCTCATACTCTCCCTTTTTTCTCCAAAAGCAAAAAAATTTTGCTTTTTCCAAAACCATGGTTTTGGGGGGTGTTTGGGTGATTTATTCCCCAAACCATGGTTTGGGTCTTCAAACCATGGTTTGGGGTGTCACCCAAACACACCCTTAATAATGTAGGGATCACATTGCCAGTTCAGCTAATTTTACTGTTAGTGCTTACACAATTTTGGGGCTCAGAAAACCACCATATTCGTCTTCAAGAGCTTGCGGGAGGTCCCAGTGAAACAGAGTTACAAAGGGTTGCATTCCTGAAGGTGCAAGACATAAGAACAAAGTGTGATTTGATTAGTTTCTTTTCCGGTGTCGTGAATGAAACTACTCTTCAGCTAACCGTTAGATATGAGTTCATCAATAAGATTGTTGTAATATCTGATGCCTTCTGGGTTCACTCCTCCCTTTAGATTCCCATCTAAAGAAAACAATAGGTTAGACATGAGTTTAATTGATTATTGAAGTAAATAATCGAAGGACAATTGAAGTACGTGAAAGTGTTTCTCACAGGGTAGGATTCTGGGCCAAGAGATGGAAAATCTGTAAGCATTGAACCCAATATCCTTCATTATGGCCACATCTTCCTGAATTTTTTTTAATGGGAAAAATATTAGAAAATATTGATAGAAAACGAAGTTCAAGATCTAGGAGAGTCATTATCTCAGACGTATAAATGAAAATTACGAGAAGTGGGTGTACCTTGTAGCGATGGTATGAATCAGTAGCAATATCCCCGTTGCTGTGATCAGCGATTCTTTCTGAAAAGATTCAACCACAAACTATTCAAGTGAAAGTGAAAACAGAGGTAACAACTTCTGATCATGGAAATGGTAGTTAATGCATATATGTATGGTTTATGTCTGTGCCTGGGTATTTGTGGGTGAAAATGTCCCATACGCTTGGGCCTTTCCCTCCCTCAAATGCTGCACCTTCATACTTTAAGCCAAGGCCAATCGTAAGAAACGTGATGGGTAGAATAAAGTGCGAAGAAATTTTGTGTGCATGTGAGATTGTGGAAGATAGATTGGATTGTGATGAAAATTAGAAAACCTGGTAAGCAGAAGAGGAAGTGCCGAATCTGAAATCAGGAGGAAAACTGGTGGGATTAACACAACCTACTGAGCCGAACAGTGCATTAATGGAGATTGCCAGAAGAAGAAGAGGGAGAAGATGAGAGCACTTCCCCCACATTCTGTGCTTTTGATAATTTCTTACAGAGAAAACTGGAAAAGAGCAGAATCAGAACATCAATGTTTATGAATCTTTGGCAAGGAAGTAACGTCAATATATTTGGAATGAAAATAATGTGACATCGGCCCTTAATACTCGTAATTTTTGGATTATGATATCACGTGTCCTAATAAAACACTAATACTTAATCCTTTAACTTTATAGAAGTTTTTACTTTGTTCCCTTAACTTTTAAAAAGTAAATTTTTAGTCCTCTAATCCTAAAAATGTTAAAACAAATAGTGACACTATGTTCTTGAATACTGTAAAATATTACTAAATACTAACATATTAAATTTAATATTCAAAGCTACCATGATTGTTACAAAAAATCATCATTTAAAACTAATAATTTTAGAATTAAAAGACTAAAAGTATAATTTTTAAAGTTAAGGGATCAAACTGAAACTTTACATAAAATTAAAAAACTAAATGTATACTTTAGCATAATAATAAATAGAAAAATGGAACACTTTTTTTTTGGGTTTGAAAATGAGGTAAATGTGGCGCTCATATCTTATTTTCCAGGTGTACCTAGTATCATGATTTTATTTTCCTGATAAATCTGGTACCATAATCTTAATTTTTGTGCCAGATGCACTAAAAAGTTAAAATAGTGCTTTGGATGTACCATAAAAAAAGTCAAGATATCAAATGTCCTTAACAAATAAAATCAGTATGTTAAATATACCTTTATCTTTAAAAAAAAAAAGTGAATTGAGTGTTAGGAGCTCATTAGGACTAAAATATGCCTTCAGATTCAAACTATTTATAGAGCTGATTGCAAATCGTGTACCAACGAATTCTTCACATGCTGGGAAAAATGGAAACGCTTTTCTTCATGTGTTAAAGAGGTTACACTATTTTATATATTGTGTGCATGTATTATTGCAACTCGCGCGTCCAATCATAGCTCTCCATTTAAAAAAGTCTCCAGAAATAAGCTAGATATCGTTTGAATTTGGGAGAATTCTCAAAAAAAAAAAATTAAATTTCAAAATTTCAAACCAGTCTTGTTTACTACATTTTAACAATAATTAACAAATTTAAAAAGTAAATGACAACACATTTGTATTGTTATTCATGGCTTGAAAATTTAAAATTTTAAAGGTATTTTTTTGAAAATTTTTCTTTAAATTACAGGAAATTTTTTGTTAACAAGGCCCCGACTTTCCAGTATTTTGTATGCATCCTGCGCCTGGTCATATAGTATGGTTTATCATACATTTTATATTTTATATCAATAATTATTAATATTAAAAATATTGTTAGAATTAATTGGAGGCCACATGCTTAGGTAAACAGTATTAGTAAATATTGACAGAAAATATAACTAGTTATAACTTTCAATAAGAAAATATATGTACTTATAAAAAAATAACTATTGAAAGTGTTAGGGTCTTATAATTCAAATAATATCAAATATATTGTAATACTCCTCCGGTCCTAATTATAAGACCCAATTGACTTATTTGAGGAGATTAATGAAGTAAGTTAAGTTGATTATTTATAATAAATAAGTGTTGTTATTCCTAAAATATCCTTGCTAATTAAGTATATTGGCTAAAACTATCATTATTAGAAGAATTATCTTTGAAAAAAATGCATAAATATAAGAGATAAAATGGATTGGGTCTTATAATTAGGACCAAATAAAAAGTCAAATTGGGTCTTATAATAAGGACCGGAGGAGTATTAAGTATGGATGTCCACAACCTTCTAAGAGTTGTATTTTGACCTTCCACAATTTAGGCCATATAACCTACAACATGAATAGTTTTTTTGGGAGTTTTTCGTGATTAATACTGATAACCTCCAAATGTTATATATCCTACAATTATATAGATTTATAATTTATTTCTTTTTTGTAACTTTTGAATTTAAAGACTTATAGCTTATAAATAGTGGACATGTACTAAGTGATTGTAAGTTTCAAATGAATCAAAGATTACTCCCTATTTCTCTTCCGATTCTCTCTTATCTTCTCCATGTCTCATCCCAAATCTCTCTTGCATTTTCCTTATTTTCATAACAAAATACTTTTATTAAGATTTTCTTAATTTCGAAGTTGTGAATTTGATTTTTGTTACTGAGAGTTCGAATTATTTGTGACGGATAATAAATATGTGGGTTATGACAAAAAAAAAATAACAATTGAAAGCTGATTATAATGTATCCCTAATAAATAATGGAATTGAATGCACATTATTTAAAATTAATCAATGTATTTAAGCAATTATGAAGGGTCTTCTACTTGTTATGCTAGATTCATGAATATAACAAGAACGGAAGGAGACAATAAGATGATTGATACATGAACACTGCCTTTTCGTCCTAATTATAAGGTTGTCCTAATTAATTTGTAGAGTAAAAAAAGAGTCGATATTAGTTAGTTATTTGCGATTATTATTATGGAAACTTGTAGTATTTTTTTTAAAAATTCCTGTTATTTAATGATTAAAAATTAATGCGCAGAAATAACAATGTCACAATAACTAAAATTATTATGAGAAAGAAGAAATTAATATTAATATAAAAGAAAATGAGATATTGTATAGAGAAATAGTCCAAAATTCTCAATTGGACGCTCTATTTAATATCGGAGAAAAATTTAAGAATCGTCTTCAAATGCTAAGAGTTAGATGGCCATCCATTTATTGCCACTGTCTAGTGTCTACAGTCTAAAGCCTTGAATTTGTTTTCTTGTGATCTTCTTCCTCAAAAATATCCCCAAAAATTATTGGATGCTCCCAAAACAAAAATGTCGAGATCTCACCTAAGTAGGTAAAGCTCTATCTAGCAACTTAATTTTTTTTTTTGTGTGTGTGCATTTAACTAAAAATAGGATTGAAATACTAAATACACAAAAAAGATAGGTGGTTGGATACATCTGACAAATTAGACCGCTGGATGTCACTTTACCCATATCTATATCCATGCTCCATTCAATACAGTAGTATAAAGATAATGACCTAACATTCCGATATCAGCTTCTTTTTTCTTTTTTTCATCTTCTTCTTTCTTATTTTTTATAACTCATAGTATCCTCAAACTATTTTGAACTTAAGACTAATTTTTATTAAGCTTAAAGCATTAAAATAAAAATCATCCCAACAAGTGTATTTTTTTAGATTTGAACTTATATTCTCCTTTTTACAGGAGTAAGACCACTTACTATATCAACAAATAATTTGTTGATAACATTCCAATATTAGCTTCAGTTGAGAAGTTTTAGTCGTTTAAAAAGAAAACTTTGGAAATTTTGGCATTTTCCCCCAACCTTCTTAAACGTTTCCAGCAGTGCCTGAACTTAAATTTTAGACCGACCCCAAAACCTTTAAAAATAAGTATCAAATAACAATCGTGATATGCCTTAGATTCATGGGACAGTCCACCTTTGTTTGTTTAGGATGAAGGCAATGTATGCTAGATAAATTCACGAATCAATGGACCGTTTGGTCAATCTAACGACCCTGTTTGGTTGGAGAAGGGAAATTAGAGAGATGGAGTAGTTTGGTATGATGGAAATCAATCTTTTTCATAATTCCCATTCAACGATTTGTTGGCGGGAATGATTTTCTGAAAAGTACAAAAAAAAGAGATGAAGAAAAATGTAGTGCATGATGTCTTCAAGACGTGAGCAGTACATTTTTTTAGACTTAATTCGCTCCCATCTATTCCTATCTTCTAGAGTGCAAGTTGGGATGCCCGACAAATTTCTTTTAGGATATAATGAAGACCCTTGAATATGGATTGTACTTCCAAGATTCAAGTAAAGACAACAATGGCTTTTACAAAGTGATAATTTGAATCTATCTTTGCTTGCACTCAAAGACAAGGGCAATGAGTTTAATCTTTGTGTTTGTGTTGTATTATATTTAAATAAAGTGATGATGAGGGGTTTATATAGACCACGGAATAATACCTTGAAGAAATACCTTTTGCAATAATACTTTATTAAATAAAAAGTCACAATCATATGTTAGTTCATGAATAAACCAACATAATTAAATAAATAAAATATATTTAATATGTATGATCTTTTAGTATTGTAACTTCTTACATAACTCTTTATATAAATATATTAATTTATATGAAGACACAACCCCTCATATAAATTTATTTAATTTAATAAATTTATATAAGAATATAACTTTTTAAAAACACATCTCTTCATTTTAAAAATATTCCAACTGTATTTTGGCATACAATGATTCCATTGCGTCAAGAAAGCAGGAAGAGTTTACTGTAGAGAAAGGATCCTATCGTATAAAGGCAAAAATTACCTTTGAATTATCTTTGTTTTTTCTATTGTAATATTAGAACTAGAATTTGGAAATTTCGTTAAAAAATTTTGAAGATAAAAAAGAATTGCATTATATACTAAATCCATGAAAGTTTTTATATATTAAACTGAAGAAAAGGAAAAGGAAAATCCTTTAAAAAGACATTTAAATAACCAAATTCTCATTTTGATTATTAAATTTATCAAATTTCTAATCAGATCACATGATCCAAAGAACTATTTAAAAATTTTATGAAATCACTCTAATATTTATTTTATTAGAAACCTAAAAAGAAGATGATTTTCTATCATTTTTGCATTGGATAAGATCTCTAAATTGGTGAACTTAGCGTCGATTATTACAAAGTTGAAAAATGAATCAAAACAACATCAATGAGTTAGTTTTTATATAAAGTCTTCCTCCCTTAGTCCTGATAATTTTATCCTAATAAAAAGTTTTTAATTTAAAATTGAAACATGTTAACAAGAAAATAAAATGTTTTAATTTTCAAGTGTGTTGTGGAGATAAAAATTGTGAACTTAGAATTAGAATATATTAACTGTAAAATTGAAATGTTAATTGTTAATGTTGTATTATGATAATTTTATTCAAAAACATATTACAATTATATTGTGGAGACATAAAGATATAAAGTTTTGAAGTACGTGAATGGTTTTGGAGACATAAATATATTAGTTTAAAATGTAAAAAATTTTCTCTTCCGTCAACAAGGGCGCTTCATAGAATTCAAACTTGTATTCTCTTCTTTATAGGAATGAGACTATTTACTACCTTAACCAATAGCTTGTTGGTATTTTTTTAAAAGAAAATAGTGAAATAGAATTAAATTTTAAATTTAATTGTGTTGTCAAAGCATAAAATTATTATTATTATTATTATTTAATATTCATATGACAAACAGGGCCCGCCTCCGCATTGGTTCCGTTTCACGCACTTATATGATCGCGATAAGAATAAGAAATAATATTATATTAACTTAAAAAAGTTATGTACTACATTATTCTATAATTTATTTTATGGTCATACATTCTTCAAAACCACTTTTAGCAGTTACGTGTGTGTTGATTTTGATTGATATAAATAATGATATTAAGACAGCGAGTGTTTCTTAAATGTTACTTGTCTCTGCCATATTCGGTTTCTAAAGTGCACTCTGCACTACTGTGTGATAAATTAATTAATTAAGCATTAACCAATTAACCTTAACCATCAATCTCTTTACATGTAATTCACTGGTTGGCAAAACAAGCATGTAATTAACTAATAATTATCGTTTCGAATTTCTAATATAAGTATTATATAGCATTTTGACCCTCTTGACCGCAAAAGAAAAATTTTAGCCCTCTTATGAATAAGGGTGTGTTGAAAAAAAACATTTTTTATATATTTATTATTTTTAATTAATATCATTATGGTCTTCCGTATAAGTTACAAGCAACTAGTTTTTTCTAATATAATTTAGAGTATTTTTCAAATCATTTTAAATTTTAAACTAATCTTTGTTGGTCTGGATCTTTAATGTTAAAATCATATCAAAAAATAAGCTTTTCGAGATTCAAACTTATAGTTTTCTTCTTACAAGAATGAGACTGTTTATCATCTCAACCAACCAGTAGCTCGTTAGTTACATATACATAATTCTCACATACTAAGTAATATATTAAATTAAAAAATTTTGCACTTGCTCCTATTAAAGAAAGGGTGTTTAAAAATATGTTGTACGTTTTCACTTACATATTATCTTTATCATACTTAATAATAAGAGTAAAATTAAAAAATATATCCCATAAGTGACTTAAATTTATGAGCAAATTTTTTCCTATATTTCTTTTGCCAACAAATTTTCCCCCTGACTTAATATATATATGGTATAAACAAATTTATTAAACCAAAAATTTCAATTAAGTAGACCTTGAGAAAAAGACAAAAAGTAATTAGCTGCTCCCTCCCTCCGATATATAAACTTGATTTTTGCTAATCTAAAATATAAATTTTATTTTTTGAATTTGTCTAAGCATTTATTATTTTTCTTTTTATTTTACTCTTAGTTGACTATATTTGGTACTTTCTCTCTCTCATTAATATTACCCTTATATATTCTCTTTCATCATTTTTTCATTTATTGCCTCTCTTATTTACTCTCTTAGTAAATAAGGGCAAATTTAAATAAAAAAAACATTTCTGACTTGCCATTAATATTATTCCTATATATTCTGTTTTATCATTTTCTCATTTATTGTCTTTCTCATTTACTCTCTTAATAAATAAGGGCAAATTTATAAATAAAAAAAATACATTTAGGACTTACTCCTCTAATCTTATTCATAGGGTAAAGAGAGATGATATTTTTTAATCCCATTTATAGGGTACTGAGAGAATTTTTTTGTATGGATGTACAATTTTACCGTTCATTTATTATTATGTTGGCTTTATTTACATGATGGATAATGCATATTAAATAGGGATAAAGTTAGAAAGTTGTTGAATTTTAAATGAGAGTTAATAAAGTTTAAGATTTTTTTATCTATATGAAACTTGTTAGAAGTGACTTATAAATAAGGCTAGGGGAATATTTATTATTTTTAACTAATTTTAACTACTAGTTTTTTAAACATTATTTAGTTATTTGAAGCGTATATATAAAATGAGAAGAATACCCTTTTGGTCCTGTTTATAAATCACTTTCAACATGTTTTACATAAACTAAGAAAAACTTTAAATTTTATTAACTTTTATTTAAAATTTAATAACTTTTTATCTTTATTCCTGTTTAATATATATTATACCCCATATAAATAAAATTAATATAATAATAAATAAAGAATAAAATTATATATTTATATAAAAAACTTTTTCCAGTATGTTATAAAAAGAAAAAATTTCTCTACCTTATAGTTAATAATTAATGATTTACTCCTCTTCAGTTTTTAATGGTGAAAAAGTTCTTACCAATTTTCCACGCCGGTTCATCGAGCTCTGTGAAAAGTTAAATCTCCTCCAATGACGCCACGCCACGTTGTGATGAGATGTAACTTCCTAATTCCTTCTATCTCCTCCCTCCAGTACCGCGAGATTTCTTCTCTGCAAAGTCGCGATCTGTCACCCAAAGAGGGAAAGGTCGTCGTTGTCGATGCAATCACGGCTGGTTCATCTTTCACCGTCCGATTCATCCATAACGTCATCCATGGGCCCACATTCCTTCAACGGCGTGGATTCCCTTGTACCACCGCATCCCATATACACGAGATCGCAGCCCCTCCCCACCTCACCACCTTCCGTCCCTGTATATTGCTTAGCTGCTACTTTACTTGCCTTGCGCAACTTTTGCTTCCATTCCACCTCGTGAATCTGAAGAAGACCAGGAAGGAGAAGTTATTGCTATCACCAGAGTTTGGTTCGTTTGTTAGGATTTAAAATTTTCGATCTTCAATTTTGCCGTCTGGATAGGTAGAACCTTGGAAGCACAAGCTTCCTACTCGAATTTCATTAGTTTAATAACTTCTATTTAGTTTGAAGTGATTGAAGAATATTTTTTGGGTGATGGTTATTTAAAAATGGTTAGCCTTTTGTTTATTTGTAATTGTATCCTGGGGATTGGAGTCCTGCGATCTTTATGCTGAATTGGTATTTTGATTTAGACGCAGATCGGAGGCGTCTGATGCGCGTTTGGTTTGATTCGAGCTGATTTTATTGTGGTTGATGAGCTGAGTTTTGGATTAAGGCTTCGACCAAGAGACCATAAACTTTTGAGGTAAAGTCACCCCTTGATTTGCATTTTTTGCGACTTGTTATCGATGTCCGTTATCTGATTCGATCTTCTGGAGTTGTCATTTGTGTCTTGAATGACTTGTAAGATCTCTGCCCTTATATCCATTATAACGTTGTAATTTTTTATGCGGTTATCTCAATTATTTTTTACTTTCCTTATTCTTGATCCGTATCCAATTTTTAGGAAAATGTCAGTATTCCAGTTTCTTAAGTCATTTTTTTAATGATATATTTTCCCTTTTGTTGCTAATGATTTCGTATGTTCTGAGTAAAGAAATCGTTAGATTGCTGATCTGTAGCTAAAGAAATAGTCAGTTTCTTAAGTCATTAGATTGCTAATGATTGTTAGATTTCGTATGTTTTAAGTCATGTTCATGGAAAGCTTTCTGCATAAAATTATATTAATGGATGCGAAGAGTGAACTCAAAAGTCGAGTCAGCAACTTCTATTTTAATATGCTTCAATGATATAATGATTCTCCTTTATCATAGCTGCAGTGTTGCTCATAATATTATTTAAATGTGCAGCATTCTAGTTGTTTTTACATAAAACATGTGGAGATTCAAGCCATTCATGCAAAAAGAGCCAGCTGGGCTTGAAGGCCGTTCTATTGATGTTGGTAATCTTAAAGTAAATGTCCTGAAGGCGATTGCTGAGGGAGGGTTCTCTTGTGTCTACTTGGCTCGTGATGCTGTAAACATGTCAAAACAATATGCTTTGAAGCACATGATATGCAATGATGAAGAATCACTTGAATTAGTAAAGAAGGAGATCTCAGTCATGAAGTCATTGAAAGGGCATCCCAATGTTGTCACACTTTATGCTCATGCAATCTTTGATATGGGTAGGACAAAAGAGGCTTTCCTTGTTATGGAATTTTGTGATAAGTCTCTAGTTAGTGTGCTGGAGAGCCGAGGAGCTGGTTATTTTGATGAGAAGCAAGTTCTTCTAATCTTCAGGGATGTATGTAACGCAGTTTTTGCTATGCACTGCCAATCCCCACCTATTGCTCACCGGTAACCAGGCTAACTACTTAACTTATGTTTGTCAAAATGAGAAATCTGTCTATTTATATACATCTTTCATATCCTTGGGATAACTTTTGGAAACAATTTATTGATGCATTCTCATCTTTATATTTATGTGCTTTTTAAATTTATGATGAGAAATTCCCTTTCGTTGGTATGCCTAAATGTGCAGATTAGCAGGTCTGCTTCAGCATTATCTTTTGCTCTCTCAGTTTCTACTCTAAATATGATAGCTAGCTAGCAAGTATTTACACTTCTAGACTTCCTTAGTTATCTATGGACCTCTACTTCATATTTTATGTACTAACAATGAAATGATGCCTAGATCTTCATGTGCGGTTGCTTTGTCATTATGATATGCTTTTCTGCAGCGCTTATGAATTCCTTGTTATTTAAATGATCTCTCAACTGTACTATTTGAAACTACTGTTACTTTTTGTGTCAGACATCATTGAAAAGTTACAGATTTAAATTAAAGACTCTTTGGTGTGTGATTTGCTTTATGCTTGATGGAATGTCACTGATGAGTTTTCCCCCTTGTATTTTTACAGGGACTTGAAAGCTGAGAATCTTTTGTTTGGCCCAGATGGTTTATGGAAATTATGTGATTTCGGGAGTACTTCCACCAACCACAAGCGTTTTGAGAAACCAGAAGAAATGGGGATTGAGGAAGACAATATCAGGAAGCACACAACTCCTGCCTATAGGGCCCCTGAGGTAAGTTGGGGGATTTCCCTCCTCAAATTGCAGTTTTGTGATGCTTGATTAATTTCACTCCTGTAATGCATTTTAGATGTGGGATCTGTTCCTGAGAGAAGTCATCAATGAGAAAGTGGATATATGGGTAAGCAGAGCATTGGTTTTCCTCTCTTGGTTGATGAATTTTAATTTTTGTTAGTGTAACTGACAATATACTTTTAAACATCCTAGGCATTGGGGTGTCTCCTTTTCCGTATATGCTACTTCAAAAGTGCATTTGATGGTGAATCAAAGTTGCAAGTCTTAAATGGAAACTACCGCATTCCTGATTTGCCAAAATACAGTTCATCCCTTACGGACCTAATCAGAGATATGCTTCAGGCCAGACCAGACGACAGACCAGATATCACGCAGGCAAGAGCTTTGCTTGATTGGCCATTCATCTCCATGAATTTAGGTTGGTCTTAGATCATCCATGCCGATGGCAATCTTAGGTGCAGGAATGAGAAAATAATGCTGTTGCTGATGTCGGATATTTTACTGTGATGGCAGGTCTGGTTTCGTGTCAATGAGCAGTTACCTATTGATCTGCAGAAGTCATTACCTGAGAGACCACCTGAATTGCTATCTTCCAACAATCATGAAGGTAAGGTGTTATGATTAAATGTGACATAATTTGCGAATTAGAGGTCTTTTTCTGTGTAAAATCTGAAAGTTATAGTCTAGTAGATGCGCCATGGTGTGCATAATGTCAAACATGAAAGGAATGTGTATATAAATTTTGGCAGGTTCTGCAAAGCCTGCAACTCAATCATTGCCAATGCCTCGTCGGAGTCCACCTCCTCCACCTTCATCTGGAGAAACTAAAAGTTCATCGCAGTCATCCCATTCTTCTAGGGGAGGGGGAAGTGGAGGGCAGCTTGGCGCATTCTGGTCTACTATGCATGCAAAGGACTCATCTGCCTCGGAGGTTAAGAGCAGACCAATGTTTGATGAAAGAACCATCTGGCGATCATGTCTCAGCAAAAACATGATAGAATTCGTCCAGACAATAACCAACTACCCAAAAATGTTAGTGGTAAAAAAGTGGATGTTGGACAACCACAAAATGTGAAAAACAGCGAACACATGGAAAATCATACAAACTAGATGCGTATCTTCCAGGGACTTTGAAATAAAATTTTACCAGGACACACATCTTGCTGGTGAGAGGCGAGCTTTTCAAGTAAGGAGAACGCAACTCCTTTCAAGACAAGCTTTTGACACATTTGTTGCTGAATTTGATACCAGTAAGCTTAGCCCTGGATTCAGTGATATAAAAATCTGAGAAAGAGGAAAGCGTTAGAGGCTGAAGTGGAGAAACTCAGAGTGAAGCTGAAGGAAACTCAGCAGGAGAAAGCTGAAATAACTTCAAAGTACGAAAAGCTTTCTGCCATTTGCCGATCTCGAAGGCAAGAGATCCAGGATCTCAAGCAAACCTTGCAGCAGCAAGAACTCCATCGCCAAAGAAAGAGGGTCTGAGAGCCTCTCCTACAGTCCATCATCTGCGGCTACGGTAATCTTAAACTATCTGAATTCCTACATTATTTATAACTTCTCACATCGTTTGGTTTAGGTTGTTGTTGGCACGCGCTGCTATAATTATTGGGCTTACCACTGCAGAAGGAGAAGGTTAGCGGGACGATGTGGGAACTCCCACAAAACAAAACTGAAATGAAAAGTCCCAGTTCAGAACCGAAGGCATGGCAAGCTTTTCCAGAGGAACCCCAGCAACAAAAGTCCTGCTTCTGCGGACAATAATAGAGCCAAATCTGTGAGGACAAGAAAAATGCATCAAACACGAGCAACCAATTCAACCACATTCAGATTTTGATACATGGGGTTTTGAAACAGATGGTTTCGCTTCTGTATCTGCTGCTGGAAGCTCACAGATGCCCAGACCCCTAGCACAGAAGGGAGTAATCCTCAGGCTTTTGGTAATGCCAAGACATACGAGGGCAAGTCAACTTCCCAACCTGCCGGGTGGGCTGGTTTTCTAATTATCTGGGAAGTTTTACAGAATAAAAATAGATGGTGGTTGCACCGCAACGTTTTTTTATCCTTGGCCCCATATGTTTGAAGGAGTGAAGTGAAATGGGTGGGAGCTCACTTTTATTTAGTTTATATACACATCCAGCTCTCATTTGATTTGTGCGGTTTGAGTGCTTGCGTTTCTTTTCGGGAGATCATGTTGCGGAAAAAGTTGTTTGGTACCTATGATCTTAATATTTTGGAATCTTTGATCATTAGCAGCGTTAACATTTAAAAGTTAATCGCGGGTCTCGAGTATGCGATATGGAAATGCGGCATCTTAAGGGTACCAATCTTAATGGTACTTGTTATATTTTAATTTGGATTAATCTGAGCTTGTTTTGTGCCTGAAAGATAGCCTCACTTAGGATACTGGGTATTTATGTGGAAAAAAAAAAGTTCAAATTATTCTGTCACTTGGTGATGAAAATATGACATAAAACATTAAATTTTAAAGTGTTCAAATTTATTTGTAAATCAAACCATTTCGTTGATTATTTATAGGGCTCGATTTTAAAGGATTGTTTTGTTGTTTTTTATATATATTTAATATTTATATATATAGTTTTTATCTTCATTATTTTGAATGAAAATGGGACATAAAAAAATTAATTTTATGTTCAACTAAATTTTAAATTTTTATGGGTTATATAGGCATTTTCTTGTATATTCTCTTTCGGTTTTTAATATAAGACTTATTTAATCATTTTGAATTAAATTAAGAAAGTTTGTTTTGTTAAGTTAGACAATATCATAAATATGAAATATGTTTCTCAAAACACCCTCAGTTAATATTTTTTTAAAAAAACTGATATTTCAAAAAATGTTTTTAAATTATTTTATTAAAAGCATCCAACGGTAGGATTAACGTATGTGTAGAATTAATAAGTAATAAGTACTCACTTACTTTATAAAATATATAGGTGTATTATTAATGAGTAATAAGTATTATTGTGATATTTAATTATTTAATAAGAATAATTTATGAAATAATTAGTAAATATGAGAAATAAGTCTTATATTTAGAATCTAATATCAATCTTTTAATTAGGTCCTATATTAAGAACAGAAGGAGGAGTACATGGGATTTGACCAAGAAGCTGTATTATTCATGACATATAAGTATTATCTTTTATATATTTTATATTTTATGGTGATAAACAGATTAAGTGGTATGCTGTTAAAAAACAAACAGATTAAGTGGTTAATTGGTGCTCATATAGGAAGAGGTACATGAATAAAAAAATTAAAAAGTAAGTCAAACAGCTTGGCCCAAATAGTACTCACCTGGTGCTTAATGTAAGACTTAATTAATTAGTTAACTCGTTCGAGTAAATTAATAATGTAAGTTAAATTAGTTAATATGATACGTTTTTTTTTTAAAACACTCTAAGCATTTGTCTTAATTTCCTCTCTTTTTTTTACTACTTGATTATTATTGAGAGAATATCAATAGGATTAATTTAAAAAAATTAATAAATATATAAAATAAATCTTTCATATATAATCAATATCAATTTTTCAATTAGATTTTATATTAGAGATAAAAGAGTATTTACTTAAAAGCTATCATACACGTAATGGGATTTGCAAACTCTTTGTAAATTCCCTTATTTTCATCACAAGTATCATAAATATTTTTTATAACTTAAAATAAGTGTCATTTTGAGATTTAAATAAGATATTTATTTTATTTCCAATTTTACTCTTATTAATTGGAAAAATTACAAATAAAGACCCCCCAATATAAAAATGGCAATCAGGGACCCTGAATTTGAGAAATTGCTGCAAAGGACCCGATCCCAATTTGCAATTATGAAATGTGTGTTAAATGGCTGAAATGCCCCTCACTCATTTAAAAAAAAAACCTGTTCGGGCTCTTGCCCCCCAAAACGCGCGATAACTTCCTTATGCTCTGTATCCTCTCGGCCATTCTTTGCGGTCTACTCTGTCCATTTGTGCGCAGGAGTTTGCTTCCATTTTGTGGCGAGAGGAGTATTGTGTGAGAGAAGAGTGTATTTGCTGTGGGAAAGGAGAATAGAGTGGTGCTGGAGTAGTGATCTATCGGCATTGTCGAAGGCAATGGAGGTAGTAGACGCATCGTGACAGTCGTGTGTGGCTATCAAAGTTAACAACGACATTTGGCGACAAAATTTGGTGGTAAGTTTCAAGCTTTGGTTGTTTGTGTTCGTTGCTGCCTGTGTGATACATTAAGAAGAGGGAAGGGAATGCGTTTAGGGCAGGAAAGTATATATATGTTTTTTTTGTTGAATAAGTTGTGACTGATTGGCAAAAAATGGTTATCTGTTGAAGAAAATGGGCGAATGGGTTTGGGTGGGAAGGGAATGAGAAGATCAGTTAGGAGGATGACAAGATTAGTTTGGAAAATGACGACACTGGAATGGGTAAAGTGCAAATTGAATTGGTTAACTGTTAATTGATCTGAAGAGATGTTAAAGTGATAGTCTCGTTTAAAATGACAAAATGGAAGTAGGGGGATTGACAAGTTGATAATGTAAAATAAGAATGTGTAATTGACAAGTTGGTAATAGAAAATAACAAGTTGAATATAATGAATAACAAATTATTGAGCAGTTGAGAATAAGAAGGTTGTCATGGGTTCCTAACAAGTTAACAATAGGAAATGACAAGTTTAAAAATGACAATAAGAAGTTGGGAATAAGAAAGGCGACTATGACAATTGGAGAACTTTATAATGTAAATAACCAATGAAGAAAAAACCGGACCGGACCGGCCGGTTCAACAGGAAAACCGGTGAACCGACCTCCAGTCTGGTTTGGTTTGAAGAATGAACTGGTTTTGAATCAAACCGAAATGAACTGGAAAAAATCAAGAAAACCGGTAAGAACCGGCAAAACCGGTGGGTTGGGTGGGTTACCGGTTTTTCTTTTTCTCCCCTTCTTCTTCTTTACTCTTACCATCTCACCACCGAGAAGAATTGAACATGGTTGAGAGAAGTGGTAGAAGCAGAAAAAATCATGAAAAGAAAGATCCATTGGAAGCCTCTTATGTGCAGTCTCAACCCTATGCTCGTGGAAGAGTTGAAGGCAAGGAGGAGGATAAATACCAGAGTAGAATAGATGTGCAGAACGAAGAAAAGGTCACTGTTTATTTTCTCTATCTGAGAAAGAACAAAAGTGGAAGAGAGAGAAACGACTTTCAGGCTTTGAAGTTTTGAACAAGAAAGAGAAGAACCAAGATAAAGTACTCGGCTATTCATGAGGAAAGAGGAAGAAAAAAAAGAGAAAAAGAAAATAAAATAAGCATAAAAATTATACACATAAATATTTTATAATTAAATTAAATTATTTTAATTATTACCGGTTTAACCCGGTCTAACCTCGATCTAACCCACTGACCCTTAACCCACTATCTTGATCGGTTTAGTGTCCGGTCCGGTTTTTTGTTCCTTGAAAATAACTAGTTGATAATTGTAAATGACAAGTTAATGATGAGAAATAACAAGCATGAGAAGTAGTTAAGAATAACAAGTTTACTTTGAGAAATTGACAACTTGCTTATATGAAATTACAAGTTCATGTTTCGAAATAAGAAGTCAATGGTGGTGATGTAAGAAGGCTGTTGGTTACAGAATAAGTTGGTAACAGAGGTGATAGTTAGTTAGTAAATGTGGTTGTGAAGGATTGTATGTTAAATGTTTTGCAGGAAAAGGAAGATGGCATCAGAAGGAGCCTTTGGATAGAAAAAGGCACACAAGGATTGGTTGTTATTCAGAAGTGAGTTTGGCCACAATAGCTGACCTTGACATGACAGCCAAACAAAAAAGAGATGCTGCGTCAAATGCATGGAAAGCTTTGGCCACTGAAGAGAAGATGAGGTACACCAAGGAGGTGAAGAAAAGAAGGCCACAAAAGGGAGAATAGGAGAAAAAGAAACATGTCCCATCATTTCTAACCTAAATGTCCCTGAAGGGTTTAAGAAAATTACTGCACTTTGTGAACAATAATGAAGACTTAAGGAGAGGGTTAAGAGGATGGGTTTCAGGAGGCTGTTGAAGGTTGGATTAAAGAGACTACCCCGTGATCTCATTGTGACCATACTGAGATCATATGACCCGCCAACGCATTAATTTACAATCAGGGGCAAATCAGAGGAAATAGGAGCAGAAGATGTTGAGCAACTACTAGGAATCCGTCACGGTGGGGAGGAGGTGAAAACTAAAGTTGATGTCGGTGATGCTATGTATCAGGAGTTGAGAAATGAATATCGGAAAGTGTCATTCAGCAAAATACTAAAAGACATTGTTTCAGGGGAGAAGGATTATAGATTCGAGTTTTTATTTGTGCTGCACACCCTGGGTACTTTTCTATGTCTGAAATCAAGCTCAGAAGCGAGTGAGAAGTTGGTTAGAGTCATGCGCTGCACAATGGATGACTTTGGAAAGTATGATTGGGCTATCTACATTATAAAGGACCTCTGGAAAGAAATGGGAGACTATGTCAAGGGTATAGGCAGGGTAATGAAGGGTAGGGGAGCAGCACTGTTGGTGGCTGCATATACTTACTTCTGGTATTACTATTTTGTTTGTCATTGTGTTTGCATTTGATTACCAATGTGCATAACATTAATGTTGCATATATGTGCCTGGCTTGCAGCTTATTTTTTTGTGAGCATTTTAACCTCAACACGCCAGCCAGTTGGTCGAGAGTCTACTACTGCAATTGAATACTGGATTGATGAGAAGATAAAAGAATTGGCTAGCAAGGAGATTATGTATGGAGGAAAAGGCAGTGAAGTTTTTATTTCGTAATCTGAACTTGTTATCTGCCGTAGTATTGTTATCATTTCCTAGACTGAAGTTCTGATTTGCTATAGTGACATAGAGCTTTGTCATTGTTAAGTTGTAATTTGACAAACTCAAGTTGTTATTCGTAATACTTATGCTATGATTGGCCATATTGAACTTATCAATGGGTAGACTAACTTGTGATTTTGTATACTGAACTTATCATTGGTATAATGAACTTGTCATCTGCTATACGTGAGTTGTGATTTTGTTTACTGAACTTGTAATTCTGTATAATGAACTTGTGATCTGCCATACTTGAATTGTAATTTGGTTTACTGAATTTGTCATTCGGTATAATGAACTTATCATCTGCCATACATGAGTTGTGATTTGGTTTATTGAACTTGTCATTCGGTATAATGAACTTGTCATCCAGTATAATGAACTTGTCATCTGTCATACGTGAGTTGTGATTTGGTTTACTGAACTTGTCATTCGGTATAATGAACTTGTCATCTGCCATACCTGAGTTGTGATTTGGTTTACTGAACTTGTCATTCGGTATAATGAAGTTGTCATCTGTCATACCTGAGTTGTGATTTGGTTTACTAACTTGTCATTCGGAATGAACTTGTCATCTGCCATACGTGAGTTGTGATTTGGTTTATTGAACTTGTCATTTGGTATAATGAACTTATCATCTGCTATACGTGAGTTGTGATTGGGTTTATTGAACTTGTCATTCGGTATAATAAACTTGTGATCTGCCATACCTAAGTTGTGATTTTGTTTACTGAACTTGTAATTCTATATAATGAACTTGTGATCTGTCATACCTGATTGTAATTTGGTTTACTAACTTGTCATTCGGTATAATAAACTTGTGATCTGCCATATCTAAGTTGTGATTTTGTGTACTGAACTTGTAATTCTGTATAATGAACTTGTGATCTGCCATATCTGAATTGTAATTTGATTTACTGAACTTGTCAATATGCCATAGTGAAGGTGTCATTTCCCATAGTGAACTTGTTGTTGTATATACTTAATTGATTAATGTCTTTTACATGCAGGAGCTGAAGAAGTTACATGAGCGCCTAATGAAGAGGATAGAGGAAGGGCAAAGGTGCTAATAAATGGTGGATGAGGAGCTGGTGAAAGTACAGATCCCAAGACAGGGAGATGGTGGGAAGGGTAAATCAAGAGGAAATGCTCAGGTTGAGACAGTGCCTACAAATATAAGTGACTCTAAAGATGATGAGGAGGAGAGGCACAACAATGATGACACAACTGAGGAAAAGGAGAAGGATGAAGTAAGCAGTGAAGATAGAGATAGTCATGGGAAGGGTGACACAGAAAATGACAGCGACAATGAAGAGAAGGAGGAAGAGGGTCAAGGGATGGTGATGACAGGAGCAAAGGGGACATGGAACACAAGGGTAATAGGGAGGGTGATGACAAATAACTACTTCTGATGGAGAGTGCAATACCACCAACTAGTTCCCCTATGGAAGTGGCAGGCAATATTGTAAATGATGATGTAGAGGGTAACATACCTGCAGCCAGTCCCTTAGGGAAGTGTCACCCAGCGTTGAAGGTGATAAGGCAAAGGGTCACTCACCGATAGAGGCCATTGTTGAATATGTTGGGCCTGATCCAGAACCTGTATCTGTGGAAGCACAATAACTAAGGAGATCTACTAGGGTTCGGTTCAGCAAGATCAAGTCTCCTTGGTTCGAGTTGAAGGCACAATCAAGAGTGAAGAGGCCTATGGAGCCCAAGGATATTTTTTTCAACTTAGTCAGCCGAGCTGTCAAAGGTGATGAGGGCGAGATGTAAGTGAAAATCTTTGCTTATGTGATATTATTTGTTGACTACATGTTAACATAACACATCTGGTAAATCACTTGAATATGTTTCAGTCCTTTATTAGAATGTTCGATGAAGACATCCCCCTAACGATACTGCATTCGCTTGGCAGAAATAACAGGGTGAGTAACCGGGTGATGTCCTTGGTCTGTAAGGCTTTAGTGCAAGAGCAGTAGGCAGTTGAAGGCTGAGTTAGGAGGCATATATTTGATGCAGATTTCATGGTGAGGTTTCTGTATTACTAATATGCTTTTTTGATTTACAAGATTGCAAATGAAAATGACAGAATAAAGTGTGTTACAGTGAATAACAACTTGGTTTTTTTTGCATTTGACAAGCCATAATAATCTGTGATCCAGCTCGTTAGGATCCTAACCAGCATGCACGACAAATACTTCCGCATTATTGTTGGCTACAACATAGGTGACTGCGACTTGATTCTAGGTCCTGCTCTAGTTGGGGAGCATTGGTTCTGTTTTGCATTCGAACCAAAGATCCGGAAGTTCAATGTCCTCGATTCTATGCGAGCAAGTTTACAACGTAAGAAGACCACCTCCAAGCAGAAGAAAGCAGCCACATATGACCCCCAAGAATTGGCCATCACAGGATGTGTAAGATGTTACTGACTTGTGCATGTTAGATAGGGAGATGGCAATTTTATATTATTATCCTTTGATGAATATGGCATATGTGCAGAGGGATCAGTTTGAAGACATACTTCAGATGGTTAGACCAGATTTGAGTGATAACTTGAAAATTGTCTGGCCTAATGTACCACAGCAGAATAATTTGTTGAGTGTCTACACCCTACTCACGTGACATGTTATTTGGTTGTGTTGGTTTGAGGAGCTGAAATGGTTAGGGTGTGTTATGGGCAGGAGGGACTGTGGTGTGCATGTGCTCGTATGGCTCAGAAAATGGGAGCTTCATGTTCCCCTTGAATATACCTGAGGTATTGATGTTACCTTATTTATTGTGTAATCAAAAGTGACCACGTGTGACTTGTTTGGTGGTAAACTCTTGCAGGCTGATGTGTCCTCTTTTTGGCGCGAGCTAATGTGGTGGCTAG